ACCAGCCTGACCAACATTGAGAAACCCCGGCTCTACTAAAAATACAAAATTAGCTGGGCATGGTGACGCATGCCTATAATCCCAGCTACTCAGGAGCCTGAGGCAGGAGAATCACTTGAACACGGGAGGAGGAGGTTGCAGTGAGCTGAGATTGTACCACTGTACTCTAGCCTGGGCAACACAGTAAGACTCCATCTCAAAAAAATAAATAGATAGATTAGCTGGGCATGGTGATGCACACCTGTAGTCCCTGCTACTAGGGAGGCTGAGGCTGGAGAATTGCTTGAGCCCAGGAAGTTGAGGCTGCAGTGAGCCATGCTCGCACCACTGCACTTTAGCCTGGGTGACAGAATGAGACTCTGTCTCAAACACACACACACACACACACACACACACACACACACACACACTATAAGAAATAGTGCCTCTTGTTCTTCAAAATGTTTTCAAGTCTGCATGTGACTAGAACTGGGTCAATCCCCATAGGGGCCACTTGGGAAAGAAACCAGCTGAGGGAGGAGTTTCCTTCAGCTCAACCAACAGTAAGGATGGCCAAGAATCCTTCAGTATCTCCTCCAGAGTAAGGAAGCTCATGAGCTCCGAGACTTTCCACTCCATATTCTTTTTTTAATTTTAATTTTTAAGATCAGTGATTGGTCTAGGGTTGGGGGAAGGGAGAGATGCATTGGTGGTACACAGGGGACTTTTATTTTTTTGAGACACAGTCTTGCTCTGTCGCCCAGGCTGGACTGCAGTGGCCTGATCTTGGCTCACTGCAACCTCCGCCTCCTGGGTCCAAAAGATTCTCCTGCCTCAGCCTCCTGAGTAGCTGGGATTACAGGCGCCCGTCACCACGCCCGACTGATTCTTGTATTTTTAGCAGAGATGGAGTTTCACCATGTTGGCCAGGCTGGTCTTCAACTCCTGACCTCAAGTGATCCACCCACCTCAGCCTCCCAGAGTGCTGGGATTACAGGTGTGAGCCACTGTGCCCAACTCTTCCTGACTTTCTAATATCAGGGTTCCCTAGGGCTTGGTCCCTTGACTCTCCTTGATGACTTCCTGTGACTTTATTACCAAGTAATTGTACTCAGATGATCTCCAAGTTGACATCTCTAACCTGGCCTCTTCCTTGGAGCTTCCAACTCATATCCTGAACTATTAATTTACTTACATCGTCTCCTCCATCCATCCTTCCTTCCTACTTTTGTTATGAAATATGAAAAAATTCTGGCTAGGTGCAGTGGCTCATGCCTATGGTCCCAGCACTTTGGGAGGCTGAGGCGGGTGGATCATCTGAGGTCGGGATTTCAAGACTAGCCTGGCCAATGTGGTGAAACCCCATCCCTGCTAAAAAAAATACAAAATTAGCCAGGCATGGTGGTGTGCACCTGTAGTCCCAGCTACTTGGGAGGCTGAGGCGGGAGAATTGCTTGAACCCAGGAGGTGTAGGTTGCAGTGAGCCATATTGCACCACTGCACTCCAGCCTGGGTGATAGAGTGAGACTCCATCTCAAAAAAAAAAAAAAAGAAAAAGATAAAAGGAAACTTCAAATATATGCAAAAGTAGAGAGAACAGAACAATGAACCCTGGGTGTCTAGATGTTTTTCTTTGATGTTTTCCCATTTATTTCTAATAAGTATTTCAAACTTAACTGTGGTCAAATTAAAACTGTAGACAACCCCTCAAATATGCTTCTCTGCCATCTTCCTTCTGTTCTCTCTCCATGAGCTCAGACCAAACCCTTGAGAGGCATTCTTTGTTGAATGAAGGGTAAGCAAGGCCCTGATCATACAAGTCCTCTGATACCCTGCAAAATCCCAGTCCTGAAACCGAAATCTACACATTTCTCTCTGATTCAGTCTCTTAGTGTCTCTCTCTCTCTCTCTGCCTTCAGTTAAGCACTAGTCAAGGTGGTACGGCTTTGCATTATTAGCAGACTGAGAAAATAGACAAGAACAACCGGTTCAGTGGCTCACACCTGTAATCCCAGCACTTTGGGAGGCTGAGGCGGGCAGATCACTTGAGCTCAGGAGTTTGAGACCAGCCTGGCCAATATGGTGAAACACAAAAATGAGCCAGGTGTGGTGGCGGCTGCCTGTGATCCCAGCTACTCAGGAGGCTGAGGCAGGAGAATCGCTTGAACCTGGGAGCCAGAGGTTGCAGTGAGCCGAGATCATGCCACTGCATTCCAGCTTGGATGACAGAACAAGATTCCATCTCAAAAAAAAAGGAAAGAAAGAAAATAGGCAAGGAGACGTTCTCTGGTCCCAGTCAGGCAGCTGCGTCACATAGGGCAATGGAATCCTACACGGATATGAAACAGTAGAAGCCCCATCTCCCAATGCCGGCGCCCTGGATGATGACCACAGTGTCTCACCTTTGTACAGGATTTTACACACTTTGCAGAGAGCTTTTACAAAGGTTTATTTAATTTTCACAGGAATCATGTGAAAAAGGCAGAACAGGTGTTATCAATCCTAATGTTTTAGATGAGAGAGAAAATGAATTGCCCACCACATACTGTGAGTGACAGAGTCAATTGGGGACTGAGCCTCGATCTTCTCACTTCAGGCTGCCCCCATCAAGCCACTGCTAACTCAGCAAGGGGGAACAGGCCATGAGACAGACCTCCATTCATTTGATGCCAGGCTTCCCATTAAGATAACTACGTACTCAGCTCTTGAAAACTATTTTTTTTATTTAATTTAGACATATTATCTCTGCTCAAGGAGTTTTCAGTCAAGTAATGGAAAAACAAGCAGGTCAATATATGGTTTCACAAGGACATACAGAGATAACATAAAACTCTGAAATAGAGGCTGGGCGAGGTGGCTCACGCCTGTAATCCCAGCACTTTGGGAGGCCCAGGCGGCGGATCACAAGACCAAGAGATCAAGACCATCTTGGCCAACATGGTGATACCCCATCTTTAATAAAAATACAAAAATTAGCCAGGCGTGGTGGCGCGAGCCTATAATCCCAGCTATTCCAGAGCCTGAGGCCGGAGAATAGCTTGAACCCGGGAGGTAGAGGTTGCACTAAGCCAAGATAACGCTACTGCACTCCAGCCTGGTGACAGAGCATGACTCTCTCAAAAAACACACTCTGAAATAGAATGTGACAGGGCCAAAAATGGTAAAGTGGAAGGATTTCCAACCTTGTTCTCCTCCTCTGCTCAACCTAAGAGTTTGAATCTCAGAATCAGTTGTGTGAGATGGAGCTGTAGCTGGGTGTGGTGGCTCATGCCTGTAATCCCAGCACTTTGGGAGGCCAAGGTGGGCAGATTGCTTGAGGTCAGGAGTTTGAGACCAGGCTGGCCAATGTGATAAAACCCCATCTCTACTGAAAATACAAAAATTGGCTGGGCATGGTGGTTCATGCCTGTAATCCCAGCACTTTGGGAGGCTGAGGTGGGTGAATCATTTGAGGTCAGGAGTTCGAGACTAGCCTGGCCAATGTGGTAAAACACCGTCTCTGCTAAAAATACAAAGAAATGATCTGGGTATAGTGGCACATGCCTGTAGTCCCAGCTACGTGGGAGGCTGAGGCAGGAGAATCACTTCAACCCAGGAGGCAGAGGTTGCACTGAGCCAAGATTTTACCACTGCATGCCAGCCTGGGTGATAGAGTGAGACCCTGTCTCAAAATAAATAAAAATAAATAAATAAATAATAAATAAAAGAAAATACAAAAATTAGCCAGGCTAATGCATGGTGGCATGCACCTGTAATCCCAGCTACTTGGGAGGCTGAGGCAGGAGAATCACTTGAATCTGGGAGGTGAAGGTTGCAATGAGCCAAGATCATGCCACTGCACTCCAGCCTGGGTGACAGAGCAAGATTCTGTCTCACAAAAAGAAAAAGAAAGATGGAGCTATAAGGCTGGAAAGAGCTTTATTTCTTTATTTTATTTTAATTTTTGAGACAGGGTCTCCCTCTCTTGCCCAGGCTGAACTGCAGTGGTGTGATTGTGGCTCACTGCAGCCAGGTTCAAGCAATCCTTCCACCGCAGCCTCCTGAGCAGCTGGGACTACAGGTGTGCACCATCACATCTGGCTAATTTTTTTTTTTTTTTTTTTTTTGAGACTGAGTTTCACTCTTGTTGCCCAGGCTGGAGTGCAATGGCGTGATCTCAGCTCACTGCCACCTCTGCCTTCCAAGTTCAAGCAATCTCCTGCCTTAGCCTCCTGAGTAGCTGAGATTACAGGTGCCGGCCACCATGCCTGGCTAATTTTTGTATTTTTAGTAGAGATGGGGTTTCACCATGTTGGCCAGGCTGGTCTTGAACTCCTGATCTCAGGTCATCCACCCACCTCGGCCTCCCAAAGTACTGGGATTACAGGTGTGAGCCACCGTGCCTGGCCACACCTGGCTAGGTATTAAATTTTCTGTAGGCCGGGCGTGGTGGCTCATGGCTGTTATCCCAGCACTTTGGCAGGCCAAGGTGGGTGGATCACAAGGTCAAGAGATCGAGACCATCCTGGTCAACATGGTGAAACCCCTTCTCTACTAAAAATACAAAAAAATTAGCTGGGCATGGTGGTGCGCGCCTGTAGTCCCAGCTACTCGGGAGGCTGAGGCAGGAGAATTGCTTGAACCCAGAAGGTGGAGGTTGCGATGAGCCGAGATCATGCCATTGCACTCCAGTCTGGGTAACAACAGCGAAACTCCGTCTTAAGAAAAAAAAAATTTTTTTTTTGTAGAGACAAGGTCTTGCTATGTTGTCCAGTCTCGTCTTGAACTCCTGGCCCCAAGTGATCCTTCCACCTTGGCCTCCCAAAGTGTTGGGATTACAGGCATGAGCCACCATGCCTGGCCTGGAAGGAGCTCAGAGAAGGCATGAGGAGAGGGGAGGAGAGGGAGGTCAGGAGGATACCTCTCCCACAGGGAGGCACAAAGGTGGCAGCAGCAGGTGCCGTAGGACTTAGCAGCTGGCTGGTGTGGGGGTGGAGCAATGCTCCTTTCCGTTTCGTTTCGCAGCTTGTCGGGAGAACCTGAGGTAAGAGCTGCTAGAGCCTCCTTTCAGGTCCAGGTGTGTGTGTGTGTGTGTGTGTGTGTGTGTGTGTGTGTGTGTGTCAGAGAGAGAGAATTCCATGGAGGCGGAGGAGGTGGGAGAGTAAAGTCTGTCACGGTGGAACTTCTGCCCAAGCAGAGACAGCTTCGTGGTGGATTTCAGAGAGGCAAGATGGAGCCACCTGCAAGCTTCAAGACCAGCTGGGGAAGAGTAAATTAGAGTGTCCGCCGCCCCACATCTATCTTCTACACCTGCTCCTTTATTTTTCTTTCTGGAGGGCTTAGAGAAACTTACTGGGCAGAAGGAAGAGCTCCTCACTGGGTTTCAGGAATCTCACTAAAGGAAATGGTCACAGAAAGAAGAGTCACTCAGTAATTGGGATGATAAGAGTAAGTATCAAAAGTTGATTGAGCAGAAAAGACTCAAAGGTGGGTGGGGGTAGATTTTTTTTTTTGAGACAGAGTCTTGCTCTTGTTGCCCAGGCTGGAGTGCAGTGGCACAATCTTGGCCCACGGCAACCTCCACCTCCCGGGTTCAAGCGATTCTCCTGCCTCAGCCTCCAGAGTAGGTGGGATTACAGGCATGTGCCACCACGCCCAGCTAATTTTGTATTTTTAGTAGAGATGGGGTTTCTCCATGTTGGTCAGGCTGGTCTCAAACTCCTGACCTCAGTTGATCTGCCCACCTCGGTCTCCCAAAATGCTGGGATTACAGGCTTGAGCCACTGCGCCTGGCCATGTGGGGGTAGATTTTGGGGGGAAATAAGGATACTGGATCATGATCCCACCTGGGCAGAGACCATAGTTCTAGGTCCAGATATCAGCCTAATGTGGGGTCCAACCCTGGAAGGCATCAAGGCAGCTAGTCCTGGTTACACTGAGAGGGGAACTAGGTTACAGCATCTTGGCTGGGCATGGTAGCTCACACCTGTAATCCCAGCACTTTGGGAGGCCGAGGCAGGTGGATCACTTGAGCTCATGGGTTCGAGACCAGCGTGGCCAACATGGCGAAACCCTGTCTCTACGACACATACAAAAATTAGCTTGGTGTAGTGGTGTGCGCCTACAGTCCCAGGTACTCGGGAGGCTGAGGTGGGAGGATTGCTTGAGCCTGGGAGGTGGAGGTTGCTATGAGCTGAGACTGTGCCACTGCACTCCAGCCTGGGTGACAGACAGAGACCCTGTCTTAAAAAAAAGTTATAGCATCTTTACTGAAAATGTTCAAGAGACTAAAGTAGGGCAGAGGATGAAGGGAAAGACTTCTCTCCTGAGCTCTAGGTCCACATTTCCAACTTTCTGTTAGAAATCTCTAAACCCCATCTCTAAAAAGATCATAGGCTCGGTAGGAGGGTAAAGGTTAGATCAGAGCGGAGCTGGGAGGAAGGGTCAGTTAGCTGCTATCACAGATGAGATTCAGGCAAGAGGTAAAGATAGCCTGAATCAGGTTAGCAGGAGAGAGGCTTGCAAGACATTCTCTAGGTGGAATCTGTGGTACTTGATAACCGAATGGGGTGAGGCAGAAGGAAGAAGCTTCCAACCTGGGTCAGTGGGAGGGTGGGATGCTGTGAACATGAACAGGGGACACTGGAGAAGGAGCAGGCTTGGGAGGAAAATGCGGGAAGAGGTGTTGAGCATATTGTGTTTGGAAATTCTTTAGTTTTTTTTTTTTTTTTTTTTGAGATGGAGTTTTTTGCTCTTGTCACCCAGGCTGGAGTGCAGTGGTGTGATCTTGGCTCACTGCAACCTCCACTTCCTGATTTCAAGCAATTCTCCCACCTCAGCCTCCTGAGTAGCTGGGACTACAGGCGTGCAACAACACGCCCAACTAATTTTTGTATTTTAAGTAGAGACGGGTTTTCACCATGTTGGCCAGGCTGGTTTCAGAACTCCTGACCTCAGGTGATCTGGGCCTCACAAAGTGTTGGGATTGGCCTGAGTCACCATGCCCGGCTTTTTTTTTTTTTTTTTAAAGAAGTCTCTCTCTTGTTGCCCAGGCTGGAGTGCAATGGTGCAATCTCAGCTCATTGCAAACTCTGCTTCCTGGGTTCAAGCAATTCTCCTGCCTCAGCCTTCCAAGTAGTGATCTGACCTCAAGCGATTCATTTGCCTGGGCCTCCCCAAAGTGCTGGGATTACAGGTGTGAGCCACTGCGCCTGGCCCTGTATGTTCATTTCTCTGGGTATATACCTAGGAGCAGAATTGCTGGACTCCAGAATATGAACATGTTCAAGATGACTAGGTAAAGTTGTTTTTCAAAATGATTGTACCCATGTACAGTGAAATTTACCTTTTTTGCTCTATTTTTCACTGCTTCCTTTTTTTACTTTTTATTTTTTTTTTTTTTTGAGATGGGGTTTCAGTCTTATTGCCTAGGCTGGAGTGCAATGGCACGATCTTGGCTCACGGCAACCTCCGCCTCAGTCTTCCGAGTAGCTGGGATCACAGGTGTATGCCACCACACCCAGCTAATTTTATATTTTTAGTAGAGACAGGGTTTCACCATGTTGGCCAGGCTGGTCTCAAACTCCTGACCTCAGGTGATCTGCCCACCTTGGCCTCCCAAAGTGCTGGGATTACAGGCATGAGTCACCATACCTGGCCACTGCTTTCATAATGAGAATATAAATGCATATATATATATATATATATATATATATATATAATTGCAAAATATGCAGGATTGTTGCATAGTTACATACATGGCAATGTGGTTTGCTGCCTCCATCCCCAGTCACCTATTTCTGTTATCCCTCCCCAACCTCTGTTATCCCCCGTTATCCCTCCCCAACCTCCCTACCCCCTGCTGTTCCTCCCCTATTGCCCCCCAACAACCCCAGTGTGTGATGCTCCCCTCCCTGTGTCCAGGTGTTCTCATTGTTCAACACCTGCCTGTGAGTGAGAACATGCAGTGTTTGATTTTCTGATCTTGTATCAGTTTGCTGAGAATGATGGTTTCCAGATTCATCCAGGTCCCTACAAAGGACACGAACTCATTATTTTTTATGGCTGCATAGTATTCCATGGTGTATATGTGCCACATTTTCCCTGTCCAGTCTATCATCAATGGGCGTTTGGGTTGGTGCCAGGTCTTTGCTATTGTAAACAGAGCCGTAATGAACATACATGTGCATGTGTCTTTATAATAGAACGATTTATAATCCTTTGGGTATATACCCAGTAATGGGATTGCTGGGTCAAATGGAATGTCTTTTTCCAGGTCCATGAGATAAATGCATATTTTTAATAGACAAATGAGATTATATCAAACCAAAAAACTTCTGCATAGCAAAGGAAATAATCAACAGAGTAAAGAGACAGCCTGCAGAATGAGATAAAATATTTGCAAACTACTCATACAACAAAAGATTAATATCTAAAATAGGACTAGGCATGGTGGTTCATGCCTGTAATTCCAGCACGTTAAGAGACTAAGGCAGGAGGATCACTCGAGCCCAGGAGTTTAAGACCAGCCTGGGCAATGTGGCAAGATCCTGTTGTCTGTATTTTTTTTTTTTTTTTTTGAGATGTAGTTTCACTCTTCTTTCCCAGGCTGGAGTACAGTGGTGCAATCTCGGCTTACTGCAGACGCCGCCTCCTGGGTTCATATGATTTTCTTGCCTCAGCCTCCTGAGTAGCTGGGATTACAGGCATCCACCATCACCCCTGGCTAATTTTGTATTTTCGGCAGAGACAGGTTTCAGCAGGCTGATCTCGAACTCCTGACCTCAGGTGAGATCCGCCTGCCTTGGCCTTCCAAAGTGCTGGAATTACAGGAGTGAGCCACTGCACTCTTTCTGTGTCTATTTTCAAAAAAGAAAAGAAAATGGCAAATAGGCTGAATAGACATCTCTCGAAAGACGACACACACAAGGTATATGAAAATCAAGATTACTAATCGTCAGGGAAATGCAAGTCAAAACCACAGTAATTTTTTTTTTCCTTTTTTTTCTTTTTTTTAGATGGAGTCTCACTCTGTTGTCCAGGCAGGAGTGCAGTGATACAATCTCAGCTCATCGCAACCTCCCCGTCCCGGGTTCAAGCCATTCTCATAGTTCAGCCTCCCAAGTAGCTGGGATTACAGGCATGTGCCACCACACCCAACTAATTTTTGTATTTTTAGTAGAGATGGGGTTTCACCATGTTGGCCAGGCTGGTCTCAAACTCCTGACCTCAGGTGATTCACCTGCCTCCGCCTCCCAAAGTGCTGGGATTATAGGCGTGAGCCACCATGCCCAGCCTAGTTAGAATGGCTATTATCAAAAAGGCAAAAAAAGCTGGGTGTGGTGGCTCACGCCTGTAATCCAAGCACTTTGGAGGCCAAGGCAGGCGGATCACCTGAGGCCGGGAGTTCAAGACCAGCCCGACCAACATGGTGAAACCCTGTCTTTTAAAAAAAGGCAAAAAAATAACAAATGCTGGTGAGGATGCAGAGAAAGGGGAACTTGTATATGTTATTGGTAGAAATGTAAATCAGTACAGCCATACTGGAAAACAGTATGGCGATTTCTCAAAATAGAACTACCATATGATTTAGCATTCCCACTACCGGTTATATATCCAAACTAAAGGAAATCAGTATGTCAAAGAGGTATCTGCACCCCCATGTTTATTGCAGTATTATTCACAATAGCCAAGATATAAAATCAACCTTAGTGGCCGGGCGCGGTGGCTCAAGCCTGTAATCCCAGCACTTTGGGAGGCCGAGGCGGGTGGATCACGAGGTTAAGAGATCGAGACCATCCTGGTCAACATGGTGAAACCCCGTCTCTACTAAAAATTACAAAAAATTAGCTGGGCATGGTGGCACGTGCCTGTAATCCCAGCTACTCAGGAGGCTGAGGCAGGAGAATTGCCTGAACCCAGGGGGCGGAGGTTGCGGTGAGCCGAGATTGCGCCATTGCACTGCAGCCTGGGTAACAAGAGCGAAACTCCGTCTCAAAAAAAAAAAAAAAAATCAACCTTAGTGTCCACCAATGGATAAAAGGATAAAGAAAATATGATATGTGTATATGATGGAATGCTACTTAGCAATTAAAAAGAACAAAATTCTGCCATTTGTGGCTACATGAATGAGCTTGGAGGACATGATGTTAAGTGAAATAAGTCAGGCACAGAAAGATAAATACTGCATATCCTCACTCGTATGTGGGAACTAAAAAAACGGATTCTCTCTAGAAGCAGAGAGTAGAATAGTTGGGGAGGAGGGTTAGCCAGAGATTTGCTAACAGATACAAAAGCATTGGCTAAGTAGGAGGAATAGGTTCTAGTGGGGTTTTTTCCTTTTCTTTTCCGCTGGTTCTAGCGTTTTACAGCACAGTTGGGTAACTGCATTTAACACCCTTTTTTTTTTTTTTTTTTTTTGAGACAGAGTTTCACTCTTGTTGCCCAGG